GCTGAACCCAGGTGCAAAGAACAGATATGCTTTTACAACTGCAATGACATGCAGATACTATGGTTGTACTGTTCAGAAGACTATGAGAACTCTAAATTGACTATTTACTTGTTTCTATCATACCCGGGTATTAAATATCATATAAACATAAGATGGCAAATGATTGAATCCAAGCAGAAGAATATCAACAGTAGAGAGGATATGAGGTCATAACAACTTGTGGAGCATTAGATCCTAATGAAACTTTAACAACATTGCACAACAAGCGCATAAACCGGTTTCCAACTTCACCTGCAAAGTCTTTGACAGATATTTGGTGTATAGGGAACATAAGTGGAACTGCAATATATATTGGCAGCTAAAGCATTTGAAATATCTGGGTCCAACATATAGACTGCAAGTCTGCTTTCTATTCTCTTGCATTCAAACTTTTCGCATGTAAAACTTAACTGGGTCCAAGCAGTTCCAGCAGCATTGAAATAATAGTTTCTTCATTGTTGAAGTTTGAGAAACCAAAGTCTAAGTCAACTTTGTCTTTGCAAAAGTCACAGAACTTGGCTCCACCAGTTCCAGCTACAGTAATGCTGAATGGGTCTTGTGTTGGTGCAATGACTAAGTTATTTTTGCTTGGAGTAAGTTCGATAGAAATTTTTCCTGCCCAGTTTTGGCAAGTATCTTAAAAACCTGAAGATGAGGAAAGATGACAAAGGAAACTCTAAGTTTCAGTTTTACTTTAGTGGCGCATTTCCATCTGAACCAGAAAGGTTAACATAAACTCCTGGAACGTTAGGGTCAAGTCTTCTTATTTTCTCAATATTTGCATACTGGTCTGTTTGTTCTCTAGCTGTGGTTGTACTGAGTTTCTCAAAGCGAACCATTCATAGTTTGCCCATGTTACTGTTTGAACTAAGTCAGAGTTAGAATATATCTTATATCCATGAAAACTTCTGGAGCATATTGGTATCCGACATAGAAAATTCCATTGCAACCTTTCTTGTCAGACAACTTGGCAGAAGGTTTTATTTCAATGTCTTGTTCCACGTATAAGAATGAGTTGTCAATAGAAATAATATGAAACCTGTCGCAAGCAATATCTACTGTTGTTGAAGAACCTTTTCCAAACTCACCTACGTTTCCATAAGAAACAGCAGTTGTATATTCGTAAGTTCCAGGAACTATTTCTGACCTTCTAATGGCATTGTCGCATTCGTTATACCATTCGGAAACATTTCCGTTCATAGCATCCAAAACTGTTGGCGTTATATTCTGAGCGGCGTACATTTCATATGGTAAAAATAGAATAGTTGGATTTATATATCATAAAAGAACCCACTCGGACCAAGCTTTACTTTGTTCTACTCTTCTTCTTTGTGTCGCTTTTGGTAACTTGCCCTCTGCTTTAAGTTGTTGCATCTTTGCCTCATGTTCACCTAGTATGTTGTAAATTTCCCATGTCCTTTTTTGCCTTTGGGCTCTGGTCGCCCATCTCAGGTAACCTATATCCTAGAAAGATTTTGTCATAGTTTGTATTTTGAGTCTTCGCGTATTGTTTGCATGACTCTTTCCTGAGTTTCCGGTTCAAGCTCTTCAAACAGAGCTTGTCCATATGGAATAAGCTCGTTTCCAAATATATGTTTTTGTAGCCATTCTGGTTTCTTTCCATGTTACCAATAATATCTTTTGTGAATGGGAAAGCTTTTACCAATGTTTCAGTCTTGCGTCATTTATTTCTGTAGTTGTTTTATTTTGTCAAGGAACATGTTTTTCAATACTAACATTTCATTTGTACTGTCCATTTGAGTTTTCTTAAATATTCATCCCTTCTCGGTTCATTGTCTGCAAAGTAAGTTTTTATGACATTTTGTAAACTTTCGTTTGCAAGGTCATGTACAATAGGTTCTCTTCCTTCTATCTCCCTAACTTTCTTTCTAAACTCTTCACCAAATATACCATTCTATGGTTCTGTGTAGTTCTTTGAGATAAATGTTCTAGAACGTCAGGTGTTATATTTCCATCAGCCATGTTTCATTTCATACTGGTCAAATATCTGCATCTTTCATATCTTTCAATGGCATTAAAGCCGCGCTGAAAATACCAGCTACATCTGGTTCACCATTCACTTCCATTGCGTCTACAACTTCTTGGAATTGTGGTTGTAAGTTTATGAACCACCTATCCGGATTAGCTTTATGACCCCATCTCATTGTAGTTCCATCGTCTGCAGAAACAAAAGTAGGTTTGTTTCCATATTGGCTAGGTTTCTGAATGAACTTTAAACAATGTTTCATTTCTATATGTTTTGTTGAAATTTAACCTTTTATTTTCACCGAGTTCATCCAAAGATTGAACGTTATATGCTCGTAAGTAAAAAGGATTGTTGTATTTGTGTACATTATCTTTCAGTACTTCCATTCTATGCTGGATATTTTCATCTGATGTTGGAGTCTTTTGTATGTCGGCGAACATTTTTCGATATTCTTCTACTATGTCAGCCGAATTTTTCTTAGACTCTTGGAAAGATTCCATATTCTCCGCATACACTTGTTGAGGGTCAAGATTTTTCGGCTGTTCCAAATCTTCATCTAGTTCTGTGAAGTTAGTTTCCAAAGGAGGGACTTGTTTGTTTCCTTCAGGCTCTTCTAGCTGTTGTTGCTGAACTATTTTTCCATGTCTGGTTGTATCTGAACTTCTTCCTGTGGAGTTTCTTGTACCTCATCTGCTGGCATTTCATATATTCCGAGACCGTTTTTAAAAAGTTCCCTATCTAAGTCATCCGGACTCATAAACCTTTCTTCTTTCGTTCCGTCTCTATTTTTTACGCGTTTCATGAAGAGAGTTGAATTATCGTTTAGCTCTGACACAAATATCTTGGAGTAAATTCAGTCATGTCATTTGGATGATATGCTATTAAATCATATCCCTTAGCGAGCTCTGTATTTTCCAGGTTGAAAATTATATCCCATTTGGTGCTGAACCATAAAGCTAAATAGGTTCGGGTCAGTATTTCCTTCCTTGAACTTTCTAATAGCTTCTTTATATCTGTCACTAAAGTCAAGAGTATCTGGGTAACCATAATTTTCCTTAAGCATTTTTAAGAATTCTTGGTTTCCTTGTTCTCTACTTCTTTTATGTCCTTGCTCTGTTTGTGGTTGTTGCTGTGCAGTGTTTTGAACTGTTGGTTGTGGTGCAGTGTTTTGAACTGTTGGTTGTTGTGTTGGTTGTTGTGTTGGTTGTTGTGTTGGTTGTTGTGTTGGTTGTTGTGTTGGTTGTTGTGTTGGTTTTGGTGCATGCCTGTGTCTGTGTCCATGTGACGATGTAAATGTTTTAGGTAGTCCTGGTGCAGGTGCTTCTCTTGAGGGTTTGGTGGTATATAAGTTCCACCAGCTGGCACATATGTTCCATCTGCAGCATAATGTCCTACCTGACTTTTCGTTCTTAAGAAAGCATTTACTAGGTCTGTTTTGGTCTGTTGTAACTCTTTTTCTTGACTTTCCACAACAGTTGCTCTAACGGCGTCATAGGCACTTTGAACTGCCTGTCTCGTTGCTGCATCTGTTATTTTCGTCATATTTTGTGTATTCTTTTTAACTCTTGTCGAAACCTTCAGACTTCAGTTTCTTTCCAGATGAGAAGTCGTTCACTAGTTTCACCTTACTATGAAGAGCTTCGAAGGCATTCTTAAAGTCAGCATTCATTAAAGCTTCATTTGAACTGTCTTCATCCGCTTGTATTTTTGTCCTTATTGACCCTATAAGTTGGGCTGCTTTAGCGTTGGCTTGGGCATCTAACCAGTCATTATTAGCTTTTATATATTCTGCGCTTTTCATTGCCTTTTGCATGGCTGCGTCGTTATTTTACTTTCTTGTGCTAAGTTTTCATACTGTACGGTTTGGTTTTGCAACTGTAAAAGTTTTTCTGCCTTTACATTTGCTTCAACTTCTTTTTTATACTCATCGCTATCCATATATGTCTTCAGGGCTTTTTGTTTTATCTCTTCATCTTTCAGTACTTTATATTGAGTAGTATGGTTTTTCAAATTTATAACATCTTGTTCCATTTTTGCTACTTCTGCTGCTTTTTCTGACACTTTTTTCGCATATTCCTCTGTACTTAGTTCTTTCAGTTGTTCTTCTTTCTTCTTTTTCTCTACGTTTAACTCATTGAGTTTCTTTGTGTGTCTGTCATATTCTAGTTTCTTTTCGTTTTCACTTATTTGTTTCTGTATGTCTATGTTTGACTTTTTGACATCTGTTATTTGATTTTTGAGTGAACTCAAATTCATTTGACTTTGAGGGTTATAAGCTGTTCCGTCTGCAGCTCCACCATAGCCTGCCATTTTCGCTAAAAGTGCCGCTCTTAAACCTCCACTCTGTGCACCAAGAACTCGGTTTAAAAGCATAGGGTTGCTTGACATTTGTTGCAACATAGTGGGGTCATTCATAATTTGTTGTTGCAACTGTTGTTGTGGTGTTAGTTTTACTATTGGATGTTTCAATGCTCTCTTCCTCTTACGTATATTCTTACGTAGCTTACGTGGCATTTTAAGTGAAGTTAAAAAGCGGTTTTTGACAGATGTTTATATGACACTATTTGTTCAGCACAAAAAACTACTCGGTCAACGTGTTGTTAGTTTTGTAAAATAACCGTCCTATCTCATTCTATAAGGGAGAAAAGGCTTCTCAAAGTATACTTCCGTGGAACGCCTGTAACTTTTCCTGTAGCGACGATAGACCCTTACTTGTCCGGACAAAGTTATACTATTTTGAGTGCTCTACAAAAAAGTCACCGGCTGGTCGGCTGGGGTTCGGTCCTCCTCTTGGGTCTTGGGAAAAATTTCTTATGGGCTAGAGGGCGCAACGCGCCTGGAAGCCCATCCCAAGAAAAAAAAAAACTTCATTTATACTAAACATCTTCAGGGCTAGAGGGCACGAAGTGCCTGGAGGCCCACTACCTTTTTTTTTTTTTTTTTTTTTTATATCTTAATAAATTTAATTCCTTAAGGTAGAGCGTGTTCAAATTTAAAATCTCATACAATATTTTCTTAATGGCGTATTTTTCTGAGGTCGCCCAAATAAAGGCGAATTCAAAATTGAGAACTCCAAGGCGTATGGCGAGTATTCAAAAAGTACGCCACTTACAAAATATTGAATGTGGATTATCAATTTTTTGGCGTGTTCAATTTCAAATTTTGATATTTATGTTTATTTTATTCAGTATAATGCTAAGAATTAAAATATAAAATTCATAGAATTTTTCTTTGAAAATATTTTACATTTTTATTAGACCACTCCTAGACTAGTCATCAGGTTATCCTCAGATCATCCTCAGACTACTCCTTATCAGATTACTCATCATCCTCAGACTACTCCTTAGACCCTCCTCATCAGACTACTCCTCAGATCTTCCTCATAAGACTCCTCCTCAGATCTTCCTCCTGAGACTACTCTTCAGACTACTCCTTAGAGTTCTCCTCATCAGACTAGTCCTGAGACTAGTCCTCAGACTACTCCTGAAACTACTCCTCAGATTATCCGCAGACTCCTCCTCAGATTATCCTCAAACTACTCCTCAGTCTAATCCTCAGACTCCTCCTCAGATTATCCTCAAACTCCTCAGACTACTCCTCAAACTACTCCTCGGTCTAATCCTCAGACTCCTCCGCAGATTATCCTCAGACTCCTCCTCAGATTATCCTCAGATTATCCTCAGACTCCTCCTCAGATTATCCTCAGACTCCCCCTCAGATTATCCTCAGACTCCTCCTCAGATTATCCTCAAACTCCTCAGACTACTCCTCGGTCTAATCCTCAGACTCCTCCTCAGATTATCCTCAAACTCCTCAGATTATCCTCAAACTCCTCAGACTTCTCCTCAAACTCCTCAGATTATCCTCAGACAACTCCTGAAACTACTCCTCAGACAACTCCTCAGATTATCCTCAAACTCCTCAGATTATCCTCAAACTCCTCAGACTACTCCTCAAACTACTCCTCGGTCTAATCCTCAGACTCCTCCTCAGATTATCCTCAGATTATCACTTTACATATATATATCGATAACTAAATAATTACTTATTATACTTTCTTTATTTTTTTAATTTTAAAATAATATTAATATATCTTTCTACGTTTAATGCTGAAAAGAGAAAGAGGAGTAAAAAGAGGAAAGAGAAAAGAAAGAGAGAGAGAGAAAAAAAAGGACGGCTATAATTTTGTATTGTTTTGTTATTCGGCCGAATGGCGGCTACTTCGTACCCGCCATTCGGCCCCAAAAATGGCGTATTATTCTATTTTTAAACGGTCATGGCGTAAAACCGTCGCATCCCTATTTGGAAATATTCTGACGATAATAAATCTGGGAATAGTATTTTAAATACGAGAACAACCTATTTAAAAGTGTTTCGCTCGATTTTGTATAATTTCAAATTTTCGCATATAGCTTTCCGTGAATTACCGTGATTTTACCGCCACATCAATAGTTTACGACAATTTTTCCGTAAATTGAGTAGTTTACTGCACTTTTTCCGTAAAATTGAGTTACGGGAATCCGTAAGATTACCGTACCTCACTTCTAGTTGAAAATAGCATTAGTATATAATAAATAGATATATTATTCATATTTTTGATTTTGAATTACGGAAAAAGTGAGTTCAGAACTTCCAATTATTATTTGATTAATTATGTTAAAAATACTATAAGGAATTAAAATACATAATGTTGAAATTTGAATTACGGAAAAAGTGAGGGTGAAAGTGAAGTGAAAAAGTAAGATATTTTTTGTTGAAATAATCATAGTTGTACAATTTTGAAACTATATGTAAAGCTATAAATTGAATAAATTCAAAAAAAAATTGTTTATTCTTATTAATAAATTTATATTAATCAATATTTGAACAACCCGTAATTAAAATTGAATTCCTCTTAAAATTTAATCCATACGTTAATTTTTAATTTGCTCGGCGAATGCCGAGCTTCCCTACTTCTCTTGTCATTCCTTCAAAAACTCTAATCTCATCGCACTTACAAACATCATGATTTGATGTATTGTCGAGAAATCTTAGACTTGTTTGTCATTTGATTATAGCATTTGAAAGTCATCTCGAAAATCGATTAACAAGACAATTTCCCAAACATCTACATACAAGTAGATGATGGTAAACCCATTAGAGTTGTTTTGCTATGATTCCTCCAATCTTATGATGAGAAAATCATATCAAAACAGCTCTAATCGAACATTCTACACAGCTTAGCATCCAGCTAGTTCCAAGTAATGCGATTACAACATCAACGGCCAAAGCCTTTCAGAGTCCTTTAATCATTTCTTCTCATCTCAATGTGAAGTGGCCCCAAACGAACTACAAGCTGACGTTACAACGCATTACAACCCGGTTAATACGAGCATATACATTAGAGCTGCTTTGTTATGATCTCCCTCATCAATTGATGAGAGATCTCATTATGAAGCAGCTCCAATCGAACTAAAAACCTACATACAAATGAGTGAAAACAAATTCATTAGAGTTGTTTTGCTTTGATTTCTCTCATCAGAAGATGAGAGATACCAGAACAAAACAACTCTAATCAAACCTTCTACACAACTCAGCACAGTATCAATGCAAAGTAATGCGTCTGTATCGTTAACAAGCAAAGTTGTTTCGGGTCCTTCCATTTTGGAAGAATTCGGAACAACTTTGCGAATTGATAGTGTAAACCCATATACATGAAAGCGTGCATGCATAAAGACAGGTATTGTCAGCAATGACTACCTGCCCAGCTATGAGTGATCAGAGAATTACCATCTCAGGCTTTTTGAGAACGTTTCAGCCAGGACCCTCGTATGTTGACTGTGAGAAAGGAGTTAGTTAGTACACCAGTCTTGGGTATGGTGGCACTGCGCGCCTCCTTACCCATTATATGTGAATTTGATACTTTACAAAACCGCTAACGTATATTTTACAACACAAACGCAATATTAATTTAACCTTAAATATTTACAAAGCCGCCAACCACTTCACCTCACCAACGTTTTCACTAACGACTTTACTACTGTAAAAAATAAATGTTCTCATTTACAAAAGTATTGCAACTCTTCCCATTGCTTTGCTTCACACAACAGTTCATATTCTTCACTATCGCTGCTGTCACTCCAATCGTCAGAGTCAAAGTCACTGTCAAAATAAATGTTAGTAAGTTTTGACAAAGCTAATGAAACACGCTTACCGTTTGTATCTATTGCTTTTATATATCTCCCATTATGTTTGTTGTCGTAAACGCTCAAACTAACTTTACCCTTTCTCCCTCGTATCTG